AGGCATAACCATCAATATAGTAACCCTTCCTGTCCGTTGGCAATTTTCAATGTGTGGTTACCATTTTTACTAGGTTGTTACCATCGATGAAACTTTGCCTGAACACACCTTACACGTTGTAGTTTTGAGGAAAATTACTCTTGATTTCGTAAAAATTCGGCAAGATACTGAAAACTAAACATAAAGACATGTACTTACATTCGATGCCCGTCAATATGGCGGCGACGTCTTCGAACGCTGTTTGATAACTGTCGATTTTAACTACCGCAATGTGGCACGAAACTGCTCTTGACATTCAAAAAGCAAGGAAAAGGCTTCTTCATCAGCACTGCTAGCTCGGAAGTCCGGATATTGAACGAGTGGACCTGGAACAGGCTTTGAAAAAAGCTCCCTTGTTTTTGGCGATTATTTTTTCCCATTTTTGCGTATTATTAGCCGAACAATGGAATCATGACGTCATCGCTTCTTCCAAAACTGGCATACTCCCGAACTGCTCTATTAACATAATAAATTATTATCAAATATGCAAGATCAATCAATTACCTATTCAGTCAAACATTTCAATTGTCAATTTTATGGAGTACTAATAAAGTTACACATTTTGATATCATTGCTTTTTTTTTCAGTATAAAAACTAGCGAGTAGCAATGCGTAAACTTGTTTATTTGCCCACACGTTTCGCGCAAGTTTAAAATTCATAGAAACGTACTACGGATTTGTGTGTAAGAAAAACGAACCCCACTGTTATGCTTCAACAAAACAGCTGGAAAATTAGGCAAGGTGTGAAATATTTTATGCTTGATGTAACGTTTGGAGCCAACAGTGTATCTATAAGTATTTGTATGTTCAATTTAATGCACACATTTTCTGTTATACGTGACATTTTATTTGTAACAACGATCATTTTAAAACTTAAAACGTCTATAGAGTAGAAAGAACCTGAAATTTAAGAAGAATCGCTAACTTTTCTCGGCATTTCTTTCTTTTCCAAAATATCCTTTTTTATGTTTGTCATCCTGTTTGCGTCTTTATTTGCCATACACAACATTTTTTCCTCAATCGTCATCAAACATATGTTAAAATACACTTCTATTCTCTGCTATATTAAAAGGCAACGAAAACCATATATTGCAAACGAAGCGAACCATTTCACAGAGACGAACAGGTTAAGTGGGTTCTAGTCTACCGAAGTTCACACATTAAGCTTTACACTATCATGGGTAGGGGCACATTAAATGTTGATCAGGTCAAATATAAAAAGTATGTGCAAGGGCAAATGAATGATTCTCCTCTTCTCCTCGTCATAATAGTAAGGAACAGTTACCGATCCTGCAACTGAATGCTTTCGAGGAAACGATGAATCTCCATTAGTCGCTGAAACCTGCTCCTTTGAAAAAGGGGAGATTGTCAGTTGCGCAGTTGTAAACTCGCTTCTGCAACCTATGCTCAGGTGACCTGCAGAATTCCTAAAAAAGTTTCCACTGGGTTCTGTGTTTGGTTGCCTTGCAGTACTTACCATGGTGGTTGCCGAGGAAATAAGACACGCTGTAGAGTTGTTCTTCCCCTGCAGCTCTAACCCTTTGTATCAGTTGTGTTTTTTTCCAGCTTTTGCTGTAAGGTTCGCCCATTTCTTCTAGCACCTCTCTCAACAATTGAACAGTCATACATTCTGGGTTGCCTTCCTTCATCCTTTTCCTTTCTTCTCTTTTTTCGATCTCTTCTTTCTTTGTCCATCAGCTGCAAACGTGGCAAATCCTTTAAAACATCTCTCAAGTCCACATTGACTGGCCATACTGATTGTGTTATACTTACTTTTCTGACCACTTTTAAAATTGAACAAACATGACACCAGCGAAAATTGTTAGTGGTTTCTAACTTCCAAGCAACAGAATCTTCCTTCAGAAAGTTAAGTACTCGAAAACAAATAGTAACCTTTTCAGATTTCTGTGAATCAGAACGCCACTCAAAAACAGGAAAGTTCGATTTCAAGGAAGGTGATCGAACAATTCTGATGACAAGTCCAACATGCAGTCCCTCTGACGGTAACCACAACGCAACAATATCACTGTGGTAAGTCCCAGTTTCAACCCGTTGAGGCGCAAAAAGCTTTTCCACTTGCTCGTAAAAATCATTTCTGGCAGATTCCATCCATCTTGCTAATCGTGAAGTGGCTGGACGGTATACTTTGCCCTCCTGTAAGGACAGAAATTCGGCAATGTGATAGAATTGACCCTCATACTCCCTGTGAACTGAAGGGATAGGCACTGTTCGTGATACCATGCATTACAACAAGGATAATTGCAACCTAACCAGAATGTTTTTTTTGGAGGTTTGAATGTTGAATTATTATACTTGCATTTCTTTTCCTTGTACAATGCGCAATGAGTAGGGCTATCTTCATCTTCCTCTTCTGACTCTACCTGTTCAGACTGATGTAAACAAGTTGCTGCAGCCAAATCAATTAAGGCATTGGAGGAAGAAGTACAATGTTCTTCGATTGCTGTTAGAAGTACTTCGCTCTCCAAGTCAAGGAGCTCGTCGCTGGCAGTTACATTGTTCTCATCAGGAGATTCCCATACTGCAAAGGTTCCTAAGCCTGGTGTATTAAGGCAAATTATGTCGTCACCATCTTCTTTAAGGATGTTACCCTTTACCAAAGCTGGTAGCATTCCTATCAGTTGCAGTGTTTTTAGAACCTCTCTCTCTGCCATCATCATTCCTTCTTTGAGTTCCACGTCAATGTCCTGAGGCCAGTTCGGTGGTTGAATGTCTGGATTGACACTGCGCGATTTAAGTTTTTCTAACTTTTGAACTCTACTGGAAAGGTCGATCATGTCCAGCAGTGTAAGGTTTGGCTTTCCTCTGCAAAACCAGCGCAATTTTGCAAAGAAATCCTCGCAAGGTTGTGATCCGAATGCCCAGGGGTGAAATTGGTGGTTGGGGTAGTACACAGAAAACATTTTCATTGCGAGTGTAAGGCCATGTCCGGCAAGCCAAAGGTTTGCTGAGATGAAATGCTTTTCGACATCGTAGTTTGAAATTTTCAGCCGTACTCTTTAACATCGCAAGAAAGTTACGGGTGCTCATGCAAGCTTCGCGCTCGTGCACAGTCAAGTCTTTTTCAGTGAAGGACTGTAACATGGAGTGCCCCATTTTTAAGTAGGTTCTAGTTCCAATAGTTTCTGAGTCACTCCAGTCCTTCATGCAAACTCTTACTTCTGTTTTCATTATTCCGATGGCAGCGTCAACATTCTGTTTATCTTTGAGGAAAACGTCGCTTTTCCATAAACCTGACCAAATTCTGTAATTCTCAAAGACCTTCATCAAATGTTCTATTTGAGCGACGCCGCTGCCAATAATGAGAAGGCCCTTTACGTTAAGTAACTGATTTCTCCATTTCTTAACAAGATGTCTCCAGTCTGGAAACATAACAGCCGGGACAGGATTATCGACACCAAAGCCGTGAAACATTTTCCACTACAATGTTGAAATCAAACGAGTCATAATTCAAACAGATGATGTCATTTCTTTCTTCTAGGGTTTGTTAAGCGTTCAACATAGTATTTCCTGAATTTAGAGTCCCCGTCCGCCCCAACGATTGTTATTTTATTGCGGGCACCCCACAGAGTAGCTTGGTTACACCAATGTCTGATAAGTGTATAATCTTGAGGAACGTGATCCTGCAGTGGTGCCACGATAAATACGTTTGCTTGTTTGGCCAACTCGTATTCCCTATTTTTCACAACATTTAGTATATCTTGAGCAGAGCTAACTATAACATCGCGTTCTGTTGCCAATCCAGTTATTTTATTTCCCTTAACTCTCATTGTGGGAACGACTGCAGTTGCGTCCACAGCTAGTGCAAAAACTCCATTATAACCAATGGTATCGTAGAACGACCTTGCGTGTCTCAGGGCTTGCTCCTCTAATTTACACGGAATAGCGTAATTAGATCTGGCGGTGCGGTACATGGATTGAAGGCTTGGGCAGCCGATTTTTTCTTGAACAATTCTGGCAAGAGCCGGACCTCCATAATCAAGAATGATAGCGAACAGAGATTTTGTTGCATCCGACCATCTCTTATTTGGTGTTCCTCGATTTTGAATTAAATCTTTGAGTAAAGAAGCCAGTACCACAGAGTCTTCATCTTCACTTTCTATGACGGCTGCAATTTTCAAAGCTGTGTCAGGAACGGCACAATTTACATTATTTTGTTCCATAGTTAATTTGATTTTTTCTATAACCTTATCTTTGTCTTTTAGCTCAAATTTCAATTCTTGTACTTTAGAACGATACAGACCTAGGAGAGCACACTGTTCAACCATATCTTGCAATAAACTTTGGATATTCATTGTACCCATTTCTTTCCTCGTAACGTCTGCTATTTCCAGAACGATCTTGTAAGGGTGCAAAGCTCTCTCTTCGACGTTTTCAACATAAATTCTTATCGAAGCTACAATTTGAGTAGCAATGCTTTCTCCAGATGTGGCCGATGAAGCCACACATGAAAAAACTGCATTTTGTGCAGCCTTTACCATAGCCATCTCCTCTCGCTCACACCTGCGAATGTTTTCCCTGACAATTTTCTCAATGGGAATGTCGTGTGTTGTTTTAGTAATACGAGGTGCAGGTTGTTTTGATATGGTGGAGCTACATGCTTTCGCTATAGACTTTCCAAGTCTTGCCCCAAACTCTTTTTCCGCTTGACTTTTAACATTAGAAGTGATGAGTCTCTCCATATTTTGTCTGTACTGTTTCACCACTTGAGTTGTTACCTTTACTCAAATGAGCAAAACCCATGTTTGGGTCAATTGTAGCAAGTTCTGTCTTAAAAGATGACTCATTCTTGGGGTCATAATGTGGCTGCTTTCGGGCTTCATAGAGAAAACATTTCACACCACCTGATCCTCTTGAACTACTGGGCTCATCAAGCTTCTTTTTGGTAACATAAACCCCCATAACTGGCTGGGGAACTATGTCTTCGCCGCCTCCTTTTTTGTGCCATCTTTGAAGCTGAGATGTACACGCCAGATCTAGATTCTCGTCCTTTTCTTGACATAGATCCTTGGTAGTCTTCGCTTCAAAGAGGGTATACTTGCAAGTTTTGAACATCAAAACTGAAATATGGTTGCAAAATCCAGCCTTTCCTGTGACATACGTACAGCTGCTGTCTAAAACGTCTCCCTTGAAAATACACAACGCCAGTTTTAATTGATGTGGGGGTTCGTCCTTTCTAAAGCTATGGCAGCATTTGGCTTGAAAATAAAAACAGCAGTCATCACTTGCGGCAGTTATTTTTCTTAGATATTCATCTTCGATGAATGTCTTCGCTTTTCTTAAGGAGGTTGGGACAGAAAGATGTTGAATATTGGAAATACTTTTTCCCGATCTGGCTATATGCTCGTTTATTTCTGCCCTGGTGTACATAGGCATCTTTTCAAGAGACGTACTCCATCCATCAGAGGGATACTTGACAGACGGTTTGTTAGCATCACCATTTGAGGAGTCCGTAACACTTGATGTAGCTCCGATTCCAATGCGTTGCTGATTTCGCTTAGTGTACAGACCATTTGGATCGGGATTCACAATATTTTTGTCCTTTCCGGTCTTGATATACTCTTCTACCCTAATAAAGAAATCAGGTGATTATTAAACTTGAACAAATCTTGCAAGTGACTTGTATCTTTTTAATATATTTTTGAATGACTTGGAGATTTTCTTTAATGGTTACCCTGTTCTTTTTAAATACGCTGATGATTCCACTATAGTTTCGCCTATCACTAGCAACCGTGATCCGTCTGCCGACTTATTAGGACAGTTCTTAATCTGGTGCAAAGACAATAAAATGGTCTGCAACCCTAGTAAATGTAAAGAGCTGGTTGTTAGAAAGAAAAATCACAATGTACTTTCCTCCCCAATTAACAATATTCCTCAATGTAATAGCTTCGTTTTACTAGGAGTAACTCTACAGAGTGACGGGAAATTCAATGAGCATGTAAGAACCAAAAATAAACAAGACCAAAACATTTTAAAGAAATTAATATCAACGGATTGCCACCCACTAAAAGATATCATTCCTGTCCAGAAGACTTACGTACATAATCTTAGGAAAAAAGGCTGCGTACGTCCGAAAATTAATACAGAGCGTTTTATGAACACCTTTGTAAATAGGTTGATTTTTAAGCTCCATTTATTTATTTATTTTTTTAAGCTCCATTTATTGTAACGATACACGTTTTTAATATATACATATAATGTAGATATTTTTATCATAGTTTTTATCTTCTTTTATTGTAACATAAGATATGTAGTTTTATCTTTTGGTGAAATAAAGACTCATTATTATTATTTATTTATTTGTAGAATATAAGTAAGATTACAAAGCGATCGCCGTCTTACTTCTTTACAAGCTCAGCTTTGGTTTTGAGGCCTTTGCCTGGATCACCTCTACATTTCAACCAAAATTCAAGTCCTTCGTTCTTTAATTCAGACGGTTTTCTACCGCAAAGTGACGCACCAGGAATATCTTGCTCTTCTAGAAACGGTTCACTCAACATATTTCATGCTAGATGCCAGCTGTAGATACTAGTAAGATTGCATCGCGTCGCGTTGCATCGCTTTGATTTGTTTTGGTTACTGTGGCCTAACTTGCCTCGCTCTGATGTGATTCGTTCCCACTCCGCCCGAGCGGTCTGCCATTATGAAAGTCGTGTTTATCTTCCAGTCTTCACTTTCATCTTGTTCACTCTGACTTTCCTGGGAAAAGTCTCCATGAAAACCTTGCAAGTACAAAACACAGGCAACATTGTTCGTTTAATTCGCTAGTGGACCACCACATGGATTTCGGTGACAATACCCTTCTTCCCAGCATCATCATAGTGTGACATTTATTTTATATGTTGTATTATTATAAGGTAGTGTTGTTATTATTAGGTTGTGTTGTCCTACAAAGGATCTATTACTTCCTTTTGTGTTTTGGATGGAGCCGTCCCCACCACCAACTCGGGAAATTTTAGTTTAGTGTTAAAGGGGCTGTGTCACGGCAGTCCAGTTCATTTTGTCTAACTTTGCCAATTACTCGCCCTCAATCGCTATGGAATTTAAAGTAAGTAAAGAAATTACATGTAAATGACAAAATCAGAGATCCGAGACAAACAAATATGTCTCCTGAGCATTATTTTTGAAGTTGCAAGCAGTAGGGGTCAACTTTAAAAAACTGTTAGGCTGAACAGTTTTCAAAAATCTTAATTTCAATCCGTTTCAATCTTCTTCAGTTTTGCCCCTCTGTGACATCTGTTGTATCTGTTCATGCCGGGGCCAAACCACCCCTCAAATCGGTCATCAGAGGCGCGGGGTGTGTCATGGGTAAAAACCAACCTGGCGCAACTATTCGAAAGAAACCCACCTTCTTGGGAAATTAGCAGCTTTCTTCGCAGAAATATGTACGATTATCTATCTCAAACAGAAAGTACGGCTACGATGCACTCCATATCCAGATTTTATCATGAAGTAGAGACGGCAGTAGGAATGTTGGAGAAAAAATATGTGGGTCAATCGAGGAACAAAGAAATTCAACAACTTGTTGGGACCCAAAGNGTTTATCTTCCAGTCTTCACTTTCATCTTGTTCACTCTGACTTTCCTGGGAAAAGTCTCCATGAAAACCTTGCAAGTACAAAACACAGGCAACATTGTTCGTTTAATTCGCTAGTGGACCACCACATGGATTTCGGTGACAATACCCTTCTTCCCAGCATCATCATAGTGTGACATTTATTTTATATGTTGTATTATTATAAGGTAGTGTTGTTATTATTAGGTTGTGTTGTCCTACAAAGGATCTATTACTTCCTTTTGTGTTTTGGATGGAGCCGTCCCCACCACCAACTCGGGAAATTTTAGTTTAGTGTTAAAGGGGCTGTGTCACGGCAGTCCAGTTCATTTTGTCTAACTTTGCCAATTACTCGCCCTCAATCGCTATGGAATTTAAAGTAAGTAAAGAAATTACATGTAAATGACAAAATCAGAGATCCGAGACAAACAAATATGTCTCCTGAGCATTATTTTTGAAGTTGCAAGCAGTAGGGGTCAACTTTAAAAAACTGTTAGGCTGAACAGTTTTCAAAAATCTTAATTTCAATCCGTTTCAATCTTCTTCAGTTTTGCCCCTCTGTGACATCTGTTGTATCTGTTCATGCCGGGGCCAAACCACCCCTCAAATCGGTCATCAGAGGCGCGGGGTGTGTCATGGGTAAAAACCAACCTGGCGCAACTATTCGAAAGAAACCCACCTTCTTGGGAAATTAGCAGCTTTCTTCGCAGAAATATGTACGATTATCTATCTCAAACAGAAAGTACGGCTACGATGCACTCCATATCCAGATTTTATCATGAAGTAGAGACGGCAGTAGGAATGTTGGAGAAAAAATATGTGGGTCAATCGAGGAACAAAGAAATTCAACAACTTGTTGGGACCCAAAGAATGGTTATTAATGCTCTAAAGAAGATCCATACGAAGATTGTCAGTAGACTTCGACCAACACCCAATCTAACAAACCCTTGGAATGGTGAATTTTCCCTCGACATTCCACGAGAGGTTTTTGATGTTCTTTTAAAACATATTGTACAAAGAAACAGTTACGGGCATTAGTACACGGAGACTACAGCTGTGGTTAATGTGGAAGTAACACGAATAAATAAAGCTGTTTTTATCTTTGACAAAATGAACATTGAGGGTGAACTTGTAGCCAAGGATGATCTGCTGAAAAAGAAACCTACCAAGAATAATGGGAGATGTGAGCTTATTGTTGACAACAGCAAACCACTAAAATTCAGATACAACAAACATTCAGAAGTGCTCTCAGTTAATTTCTATTATGGCTTTTGGAATGAGCATGGAGTGCCACAACATTAATTTTTGGCTCGTAAGAGGTAAACCTAAAAAAGTACTGTTTTGTTTACATAAATGACAATGGCATGGAATTTTGGAATGCTAGAACTGGTAGGGATCTTCCACATGTATTAAAACTGTATTAAAAATAACATAACATAATGCACCCATCAATGGCAAGCCAGCAAGGGGGGGGGGGTACATGGGGCATAGGGTGGGGATTTGACATTTTCCAAAAAATTGCTGTCAAATTCCCTACCCCCAGGCAAAAATGTGAGGTCAAATATAACTGAAATTCCCCCCTCCCCCCCCCCCCACTGGCTTGACATTGATAGGTACATAATTATAGCTCTGGATGGTCTTCTGACTTACCTCATGGCAGAGCCAGCTGTTATTTGACTCATTTCCATCTCTTCCTCCTTCCCAGTGGGTTTCATTGTAGAGTTTGCACTTTCACTGTTACATTTTCTGAGTAGGTCATGTTTAGTTTACAAGGTACGATAATCTTGGAATTTTCGGCAAGCACTTGATATTGATGTTGATTATCTGTTTGTCAGGCAGTGGCAAAAAGTCCTAATTACAGTCATGATGCCACCATGTTGTTTAAATTTATTCCACTTTACTTGGATGTTTTACTAAGAGGTACAGTCAAAACAATATAATTTGTCAGTTATAAAAATGAACAGATTTTATGTTCTAATATCCATATGTTCCCTTGTTAAGAAAAGTCTTATTTATGGTTGACAACTTTGCACTTAGACAACACAAGATCCATAACCAGGATTCATGATAAAAAATTAATGTTCTCTGGTTAAAACATTTGAACAAAAAACTAAGCATTGAACAACTTGTAACTTTTTTGCCCCAGTGTCCAATAGGCCCATATTGTTAAATTCTTGTGAAGAAAAAATTAAAAAAATGTATGTCGAGAAAGAGTCTTGTTGCCAATCTTTCCTTTTACAATCTACCGTATGTTGCTGTTCCAGTCTGTTTTTGATCAGACTTTTGTTGAATTTACTGCTTGGTTTCAATGACAGATGCTAAGACCAGGCTGATTATTTAAGTTTATGCCCACTGTTTATTCTACATGGGGCAGCCCTTACAATATCACAGCAAGCTGGTAAAATGCACCGGCCCTTTCCTTGCTTTTCAAACCAAACAAATAAAAAATGCTATCTATTAGGAGCAACAGTTTAGAATTTAAGCTGTTGTTATAAGCAATTTTTCCTTTTACAATCTACAGTATGTTGCCGTTCCAGTCTGTTTTGATCAGACTTTTGTTGAATTTACTGCTTGGTTTCAATGACAGATGCTAAGACCAGGCTGATTATTTAAGTTTATGCCCACTGTTTATTCTACATGGGGCAGCCCTTACAATATCACAGCAAGCTGGTATAATGCACCAGCTCTTTCCTTGTTTTTCAAACCAAACAAATAAAAAAAGCTATCTATTAGGAGCAACAGTTTTGAATTTAAGCTGTTAAGCAATTTTTCCTTTTACAATCTATGTTGCTGTTCCAGCCTGTTTTTGATGATAAGCACTGGCCCTTCCTTTGGTTTTCAAACTAAACTTGTACAAGCTTAATGTGTTTGGCTTCTCTGACCTGCATAGAACTTAGTCCAAAACCCATTTTTAAACAGTGTCAAACAGGGTCTTTAAAGCAGGGGAAATTTTTCCCTTCCTAGCAGCCTCTTTCACCAGCTTCATTGTGCTGCTCATGCAAAGTGGACATTCGTAATCACCAGAATTTGACTTTAGCAGTCCACAGTGGCAGTGCAATACATTTTTCTCTGCTACCTTCTTAGGGATGTACGAGTCACAAGCTTTCTTTTTTTCTGGGCGGTAGGTAATGCTGTGGGGATCTAATTCTCGAAGCCACACCATAGAGACATATTCATGCCAAAAAACCATCCACCGCCTCTGGTTTTTGTTTATGTTACAAGTGTTTTGTACATACGCCGCTAGTTTAATATGTTTGGCTTCTCTCCCCTGCATGGAATTTAATCCAAGTCCAAACCCACTCTCCTTAAACAGTTGTTGGGTGCTGTAGGGGATGGCATATCCAGTTGTCCAAGTTGTGGGGTTAATGCCATCAAGCAAAAGGGCATGAGTATTAAAATACAGTTGGCATTTGCTTTCAAGCTCTACCAACTGTTCTCTACTAATTTCCACCCTTGAAAACAGTGGCCCACTGTTTCGTAGTTGTAAAGCTGAAAAAGCTAAGGCATGCAGTTTTACTTTGATTGAACTTGAAATGTTGGCGATGCCTAAGGGAACTTCAATTAGGAGCCCAAAGTTCCAACAAAATCTCTTGGACTCCAAACCTGTAAAACGATAACTGAATTGAAGCCCTTTCTTCCGTTTCTCAGAAAACCAACAGCAAAAGTTTTTGTACAGACGTCCACACTTCATGCATTCTTTTACACAGTTAAAGAACGTGACTAGTGGGCAGGAAGTTGGCAAATCTGATAAAACTACTGCAGCCTTCAATTGATTAGGATTGGTGTGCTGCATGGCAACAGTCAAACAATGGGTAAACCACTGTTGCCAACCATTGTTGATGCTGTGCAATGGATCAGACTTTATCAAGCTAACAAATTTTCCAAGGGGTGGTACAAACTCCTGCCTGGAAAGGTAAGGTAAAGTAATAATCGACTTTGTTTAATG